CTAAAATTCTTCCGAAGGACCAACTGACGAATAAAAACCCAAAAATGTCAGTAAATGCTCTATTTGGATTCAAGCGTTTCAAGCCAGTTTCCACAAAACATCCCCCCTTAGAAATGTAAGTCTTATGAGAGACGTCAGTCTAGTCGTTTCAGCTTTCCCCTCCAATCACTAGAGGCGCTTCAATCAACCTATTAAAGTTTTCTTTTTCCTGCCGGACCGTGCGCCAAGATTTGAAGTTTATTTTGTCATTTCCAGTCGTCAAAATTTAAATTTTGAATTTCTCCCAACATTTAGAATTATCAATTACCTATCAATTAACAATAATTATTATCTCAAAATGTCTTCTCCCAGTTTGTTAATTGAAAAGCATCAGAAATGCTACAGCAGCTATTTCCGGTTTCCAAAAGATGCCGAAAAAATGAAACAATGGCTAGAAAAAGTTCGCAATCCTTTACTAAATAGCCTCAGTGTCGAGAAGGCTTATAATAATTATAGAGCGTGAACAAGACATTTTCCTCGAGAATTTATTGTTGGCGATCCAAAAGCCAGACGAGGACTCACATGGAATGCTGCGCTTTTGCTGTATCTCCCTGAAGGTAAGTTAATACTAGATATATGTGAGAAAGACGTACTTACATTTTCACTTACTCCTCCCCATAGTTCTGATTAACGACAACGTGTTAGAATTCGGGTTTAAAGGAGCATAGGTCAGAAACATTAAAATTAATTTTAATTTTAGCCTCAATTATCAAAAACAGTGAGGAGTCGTTAATTGATAAACCACAATCACCAAAATGGCAAAAAGTGGAGATCGACACAGTTGAAACTCGTCGAAGAGTCCTAAGACGCCTTCAGAAATTAGTTTCGCAACTATGATTGACATAGGTAGGTAAACATAATAACTCTGTTCCAACACGTCAAAAAATCGTCCCATGAACGGTTTCGAAACCACTCAGTATAACAATTTTAGTTTCTGCGCAGAATCGTGACGGTACATTGTACGGTTTTCTGCTGTGTTGGAACAAAGCTAATATTATTCATTTCTTTTTTTTAAATGTTTATTCCTTTATCAGGAGACACAATAATTAAAATATTCCTAGTTACATACAGGTACACCATATTCTAATATGCATGTATCCAAACTTTTTTGGTAGAATCGTTGGTAACGAAATTTCTGTTTTAGATCAACCAGACCCTTCATGTCGTCAATTTTTATCTACTGAAACTTCTGCAATTCGGGCAGACATTGCTACACCAAGTGGAACCATCACATCTGCAAACATGAAAAAGTCACCAACCCACTTTGTCTCTTAAAACTTTTATTGGTAGGTACCTAACTGTTATTGCTTAATGAATAACCACCCAGTTGGGAGTAGGTGAATTTTAAAACATCCTAACTCAAGTAGGACTACTACTATAAAAGACTACTAATTACTAAAACTTGCAGTCGAATGCTAGAAAAATTAGAAGCTAAATGTGCGAAAAGCTCGTCTCCAATCTTGATCTATTTTTTTTTTGCAGGTCATGAGAGACGATGCCAAATTTTAAAGAACATTAACGTCACTAGGCAAAAAATTCCTATCCCCAAGGGCAAAAATATCTTTATTCCAAAGTTATAGAATCCAGCAATAAGTTAAGAAGAATCAGTAGAAGGTTGTCGTCATTTAAATCCAAAGTTTCTACTGCTGAATAACTTGCATCATAAACCAAATTTCAAAGGCTCGTAGACCACGTCAATCCATTGATATACAGCTTTATTTTAAGCCAAGTCCGTACTCAAAACCAAAAGCCTAAAGCTAGACGATTTACATTGGACGAGAAGTTGTTGGCGTTGTCTTTGCTTAAAGCTAGTGGTAAAGGGTATAGACTATTATCAAAAATATTTATTCTATCATCCAGGCGAAATCATTTTCTTGAATGAGCTTTATATTATGTATAACTACATAAACTTTCTACCTAACACATGCGGAAAGTGTATTTTCTGGACTTAAAGGCTTGTTTGAACTCTGCTTTTTGTTGTCATTCGTGCAACTTCCATCACGTGCAGAAACACTTTCCTCACTTGTTAGGTTAACAACGATTTTGGATTGTGAGAAAAGGACCTCTTTTGTCATTTTATTTACGATTTAAGTTTTTCATCAAGCTATTGTTAAATGTACGTCATTACTTCTTGTAACTGTCCTTATTATCTTTAACTTAACTAGCATTACCTACCTATGTATGTATACTTACATGAAAAAAAACTGTTTCGCAATAATTGTAATTAATTCCATATTCTTTAATATTTTCTGTTTCAAACTTTAATAAATATCTAAATTTGTCATCTTAATTTTTAGTCAATTTTACCTTGAAGGCGCTTCAACACTACCGATTTTATGAGTTTCTTCTTTTTGGCACAATTATTTTATGCCAAAAAATGGTAGAAACTTTAAAGTGGTGGTGTTGAATCGCTAGAATCAAACAATGGTGCAAACGATCCACCGGAACAAATAAGATACCGAACGAACCCTAATTGCGTTTTGCATTCGCCAATAAATCCAGAATTACAAAAGCTTACCCCCCCAGTCACTAGAGGCGTTGAAAACTTATAGACAGGTTCTCAACACCGCACTTACCTTTCTAAGGGGGGATGTTTTGTGCCAGTTTCAAAAAATTATACATTTATGACAATTTGTGGACAATTCTATTACAATGACAATAACAGGTACAAAAATGAACAAAAACTTGACCAAACTGGCCACTCTGATCTATTTCTAATTTTCTACTAAACACTAGTACTAATTAACCTAAAACTATCTTATTTTTAATAAGGTATAATTCCTACCTTTGAAGATGAACGAAGGGAGAGATTCGAAGATTTCATATAACCGGCTGGTGCTGCTTCTAATTAAAACTGAAATTGCAACAGGTAGAAAAGAACTTTTATTTTCATATGTAGTATCACCCCTCGAATTCCGGTACACTATTTTTTTTACACCCTGTATAAGGGATGTGCAGAACTATTGGCAGAACCCTTGGCCTATCTTTCTGGCATGTCAGTTGAGCAGGAATGCTTTCCAGATGTGTTAAAATTGTCAACTATTTTTCCAATTCATAAAAAAGATGCATAGGATGACATTCTAAATTATAGGCCTATTAGTTTGTTAAACAGCTTGGCTACAATCTTCGAAAACATTCATTATGAGAAAATATATGAATGTGTAGAACATAAAATCAGCAGGTTTCAGCATGGTTTTGTAGAGGATAAATCCACTTTGACAAACCTGTGAATACTCTCTGAGCAAATTTCAAAGGCTGTTGAGGCAGGGAGGCAGTTGGATGTTCTTTCTCTACACTGTATGTAAGAAGGCATTTGATGAGGTGAATCACTGTGTTTTCTTTAATAAATTGGTTGAGTTTGGGTTCTCAAGAAAAGCTTGCGATTTGTTGAAATTCTATTTGATGGGGAGAAGGATAAGAGAGAAGGATAGTGTGATTGTTTGTGAATATTGATATATTATATCAACCTCAGGAGCCCCATAGGGTGGTAAACTTGGGCCATTGCTTTTTATATTGTATCTCAAAGACTTGTCTGACTGTCTAAATTCATCTATTGGCTTAATATATGCAGACGATTTAAAGCTATTCAAAACCATATCTGTTAAAGAGGATGTTGTCCAGTTGCAAGTTGACTTGAAGTCAATAGTTGAGTGGTTTTCTGGGAGTTTTGAAAGATTTCGCGGGATTTCTGCTGAATTTGTGAGAGTATTGCAGGACGTGGTTCACCCCTTGGGGGGAATACATAATGAAAAATAATGAAAATACTTAGAAATACCGAGGGGCAGTTAAATGGTCAAAATCCGTGTACAAGTTGGTGATAATCCTGGAAAATCTCATAAGATCTACTTGAAATCTCTAAAAATCTTCAAAATCCTTGAAAATTTAACAAAACCTCACAAAACCTTTTGAAATCGCATAAAATCCTACAAAATCTTACAAAATTTTGTTGAAACTAAAAAAATCCCACAAAATCTTATAAAATCATTAACATTCCTTAAAAAAAATTACTTCAAATCCCCAAAAATCCTTTGGAATCCCCAAAAATCTGTTAAAATCTCTAAGAATCCTGTAGAATCTCTAAGAATCCTGTAGAATCTCTAAGAATCCTGTAGAATCTCTAAAAACTTTTCAAAAACCCCTGAAACGCTCCAAAATTACCTGAAATCTTGAAAATCTAAAATCTTCTGAACTCCCGTAAAATCATGTGAAAATTTTCAAAATCCTACAAAATCAATAAAGATTTAAAATATGCGAGAAAATATGTGTACACATTTTAGGGATTTAACCTCGGATTTAACTAAACATAGGACCGGGTAATTGGTCAAAATATGTGTAAAAGTTGGTCAAAATCCCAGAAAAACTCGTAAGATCTACTACATCGTTTTAGTAATCGATTTTTACTCCAGTAGAAGACTACAATCCCTGAAAATTTCAACTCATTTGGACTTATAGTTCCTGAGAAAAAATCGTAATAAGCAATTTGGGGTGATTTATCAATTTTTAAATTTTTCTGAGTGCCTTTTTACATAGATTTCGGCTTCAAATTTGAGAATAATTTAGTGTATGGAATTTGTGGGATCCCAAATGACCATTAGGACATAAAATCTCAACAAAAAAAAATTTGAAATTTCATCCATTTAGTAAGAAGGCTACCTTATGATTTAGATTTTGGAAAACTTTGAGAGGTCATAACTTTTTTTCTATTATAGATAGACAGCTGAAATTTTTAGCGATTCTTATCCTAGTCGAGGACTAAAATCCCTGAAAATTTCAACTTATTTGGACGTATAGTTCTTAAGGAATTTGAAGTGAATTTTTGTATTTTTCAATTTCCCTGAGATCCTTTTTCCATATATATTGGCTCAAATAATTACAAAAATTCCTGGAAAGCACCAGATAGGTAATTTATAAGAAAAAATAAACAGGCAACAGCATTTGAAAATCCAAAGTTCAATATTTACCTCGACATTGTTCGTAATGCATATTTCGCATTTTAATGTGGTTGGAGCTCCGCAAATGCTTTTTCCTAGCCTCCAGTTCATCAATAAACGTTTTGTCGCAATATTCGCAATAATAACGACGCCCCATAATTATTTAAACAAATTAAAAATTGTTGTAAAAATGTAAACAAATATTTTTAAAAAAAGTTAGGTTATTGCTCTATCAGTACCAGAGCTGTAGGTTAAAAATCATAGAGGGCGCCACTTGTAAAAACCAATCTCTGTTCATGTGTATCTCTCTCTAATTCAACAAGCCAAAAAGAGACAGCAATATTTTTTTGGGCAAGCATGGTTTGTGAAATGAATAGGCAACTTTTGTTGTCAAAAACTTTTAGTTTGATTGAAAACTTTGAGGCGTGTGGTTGGATTTGTGTTTTTGTTATGTTTCCCTTTTTTTTCCTTTTAAAAATTGAATTATTTATTGTATTGTGTGTCCCCTCTTTTTATTATTAATTAAAAACTTTCTAATTGTGTTTGTCCCTGCCCTTTTTTTCTGGAATGCTACCACAATAGTTTAGAGGTAATTATTATATTATACTACTTCCTCATTAAAGTTTTGTTTATGTAAATTTATAATTGTTATTGATTAATGGTTTTGTGCTGAACTTTGTAAATTTTACCTTGAAAATATTTCATAATAATTTCTAAACTCCAACTAGAATAATAAAGTCAAAAATACTTTGATCTAAACTAAACGGCCTTCGTTATTTAAATTGAGGCATCTGTTAAAAATATCCACTTCCTCTATGTGTAAAAGTCATAAATTATGCTTAATTATTGCTGACACAAATTTTATGATTGTGGATCCAGAATTGTTTGATGTGCAACATTGACCCACAGTTCAAAAATATCATAAAGCAATAAATCAATTACTTAGGTATTGAAACTGTAGTACCAAATGGAAATTATTGATGTTTTATTATTGGTGGGACAATGAGGTTAAATTGAAGCAATTATTCATTTATTTTTTAATTATTTATTTATACTCCTGCACACACCTTTAACAGGTATTTACAATACAATACAAGAGTTTCAAAAAAAGTACTTATAGTCACAACATATTTAAGATTTTTCCTAGATTACCCAGGGTCCCCCAAAGATTTCACTAGATCTCCCTAATTTTTCAGGGATTTCATAGAATACCAACACAAGTGCACAGCCAGAACACAACTCATAAGGTCTTCTCCTTATCACAACATGTGCATTTTCTAGGTCTATAAACCTAGCCGTCCCAAGGTGGAAAAAAACTTCGGGAACTATATAATAATTAGGTGCTAATTAGGGCCTCTAATTAAAAATTAGGTGCTCCTCTATAGTTTTTAAGAAAATCAAAAAAAAAAAACTAAGGGATTGCTAGGTTTATGAAAGCTAGTAGTCCCCTATAGTAAAAAATATTTTTCCAAAATTTTCTTTTGTATCAGAATTAGGTGCTTTTTAGGTGCTAGTGCTAAAAGTAATCACTTTTAGTGCGTTTGTAAAAAAAATAGTGTATGATATTCGTGCTAAAAGTGATTTTATTTTGTTCAAAGGGAAGGAACACTCCGCCTTCGTCGTCGTGTCCCAAACTTCCCTTTTCACAAAATAAAGTGTCACTTTTAGCACTTGTATCATAAATAACTATTTTACTATAGGGGACTGCTAGCTTTTATAAACCTAGCAGTCCCTTAGTTTTTTTTTTGATTTTCTCAGAAACTAAAGGAGCACCTAATTTTTAATTAGAGGCCCTAATTAGCACCTAATTATTATATAATTCCCGAAGTTTTTTTCCACCTTGGGACTGCTAGGTTTATATACCTGCATTTTCTCTTGATCTCTATCTGACTCAAGATATAGACAAAACAAAACGTGAATAGATAACATTTTGGCGACTGGCACATACACATTTTCTGTTCCATTAACACTTTTCTTTTGAAATACCCACTTCGAATCTATGATCTCTTGATGTTGAGGAGGTGATACCAATTCCCAAGTTGTCATCTTTTAGCTAAGCCAGGACCACTTATATTTATTATTTTTATTAATGATTTACCATTCTTTGTAACCACATCAGCCAGTTCGTTGTATGCAGATGATTTCAAACTGTTTAGCCCAGTATTATGTGATCATGACTGTAATGATCTCTAGTCTGATTTGAACTCTGTGTTGTGTGAATAAGATGTCCCTCAATGTTGACGAATGTTCAGTTGTTACTTTTACTCGAAAAAAAAATTATTATTATACATGATTAAGGTAAAGTACCCAATTGTTGACAGGTTAAGGGTATCCTTGCTTATGATCACTACACATTTTCCAAATTTTCAAATCCAAGGCTTTGATATATTTTTTGGCGTAATTTCAAACTCATAATTGAATGTTTAAATATATTATTTACCCTATATTCCTATTATTTGTGTTATTCCAAAAATACCTGGAAGGTGATAAAACCCCAATAGTTGACACCCAAAAAAGTTCACTTTGCCAAAAGTTGACACATTTTTGGTCCAAAGGTTGACATATATTTTTTTACAAAACCAAATTTTTACTTTTAAGGAATTTTATCATGGTCTGTGGAACTGAGAAGTGTATTTTTCTAAGTGTATAATTTTTTAAATGAAATATATGCATATAATGACCAATTATTTTAATTTTTTTTAAATACATGTCGTGGTTCCATTACTTGACACTTTTGAAACCAATAGTTGACATGTTGCCTGTATCAGTAGAAACCCTGTTAGAAACATCAATAATGTAAGAATCAATCTTTGTATTAATAAAAAATAACATTGGGAAACTTTTTGTTGGGAAAAAAATACAAATTTCAATTCCAAATTGGTAATAAAAGAAATTGCTTAGAAAGCATTCGTACATTGTGTTTTTTTGCTGATGTAGCTACAGTAAGCCCCCTATCACAATCATCCAACACAGCAGTTATGTCTTCTGGTAGTTTTGGTGCATATTTCAGCAATTTCCATTTTTCATAAGCCATCTCTTGATTTAAACCTGAAAGGACCAATTGTTGACACTCTAAAGCTCGAAAAATTGACAGGAATGAGAGGGGTGTCATCTATTGGATCTATGACCGTCACATTCCCCAATAAAAAGAGACAGACTGCAATGTTGAAATATTTTTACTGCCAAAAATCCATAAGTTGACACTAGGTCAACATTTGGATCGACCCTCGATTTAGGCTCCAATAGTTGACACCCCCCCTTAAAAAGTTTATGCCCCTTATTTAAGAGATAAACCAATAATAAATATGTATTACAATGTATCTTATTATACAGTAAATATATATTATTCATAATTTATCAACCCTACCTTAGCTTTGAGAACTTTTGTTTTTATATCTTCTTAACTACTTTCCTCCCTCGCTACTTTCACTAGAAATCTGGAAAAAAGTTCAAACAATTGCATGCTCGATTGCATCTGTTCACTACTTCTTGTCACCATTTTGAAAAAACTTGTGATTTCGAATCCATGCATCAGCTATAATACGCAAGATGGCTCCAACAGTACTATGGGTAGTGATGTAAAATGCTCGAGCAAGTATTTTAGGAGAACGTTCTCCGAGCAGGATCGAGAATTAACGAGAATAAACGAGCAAAAACGAGCAGGACCCGAGAATTTATGCTTTTTATCAGAAGCTGAATAAAACAAAACATTTTCCTAAATAAATTCTGATTTTTCTCAAATTTCCCGAAATTCCCAAATTTCTCGTGAAAGTTCTGAATATTCTGAAAATTCTTGATAAATGTGCTGAAAGTTCTCAAACTTCTTAGGAAAATATACCTACTTAATACATAATTAATCACATAATTTGTGAATTGTGTCTTGTGTCATGTTTGATAACAATAATTATTCGAATTTGGGGTTTTCTGTGAAATTTCAACATACAATTATCATTAGGATTCTTTTTTTTTTTGATAATAAAATAAAATAGTGATTTTAGTTTGAGTATATTCCAGTACAACGCTACTTTTGCCTCCAAAAAAAATAACTATTGCTGCTAAGTTGCTTCCTGATTCTCGGGCTCAATATTCGATATTATATCTTCGCCTTCAACAGCTTCCATAAATATATCTCTACTTTATGGCGTCATGTGATTCTATTAGTTAGGATCGTGCTGAATATTCCCTAGCGTGCTCATTGTGCTCTGAAGGTAATATTCAGCACGAACCTTTTTTTCGTGCGCGAACGTTCGCGAATGTTCTCGAAAGCACAATCAGAACGTTCCCTTGTTCACATCACTAACTATGGGCTATTTGAGTTAGCTTATAACCTCTATAATTTCCTTTTTTCAGGAATAATATGCTAATGTGTCAACTTTTGGGACCCTGTCAACAACTGGGTACTTTACCTTAATTTTTTAAGGATTTCAGAGAATGCCAACACAAGTGCTAAGCCAGAACACAACTACTAAGGTCTTCTCTCGAGTCTTCTCCTTAACACAACATGTGCATTTTTTAAAAATCCCTATCTGACTCTAGATATAGACATCTTTTGCATAAAGATGTTCCCAGATTACCCAGGATCCCTCTAAGATTTCTTCAGGTTTGCTTTAATCTTGCAAGATTTCGCTAGATCTCCTTAATTTTTCAAGGATTTCATAGAATACCAACACAAGTGCACAGCCAGAACACCACTACTAAGGTCTTCTCCTTAACACAACATGTGCATTTTCTTTTGATTCCTATCTGACTCTAGATATAGACATCTTTTGCATAAAGATTTTCCCAGATTACCCAGGATCTCTCTAAGATTTCTTCAGATTTGTTTGAATCCCCAAGATTTTGATAGATCTCCCTAATTTTTCAAGGATTTTATAGAACACCAACACAAGTGCACTGCCAGAACACAACTCTTGAGGTCTTCCCTTAACACAACATGTGCATTTTCTTTTAATCTATTACTTTCCTGGCAATATCAAAACTACATTTATGACTATGAGGTAGGTATATTCGGGAAGGAAAGCATCCAGGGATTCCCATATTTGGGAATACTTTGGTGAATTTTTGTGAGTATTCCCAGTACTCTTCAGTATTCCTGAATATTTCCAAACTATTCTTATTATTTCCCAGGTAGTTCTAAGTATTTCCTGATTGTTACAAAGTATTGCCATATATTCCTAGTTATTTCTATCCTATTCCCAGGTATTCGCCGAGGGGTT